CCAGGGTCCCGTTGTGTAACAGGATTCAGTCTAGCCAGCGTTCGACACCGCCCTTGCTCTAGACAGGGACGCAGGATGTTACTCAGGTGCACCGAGAAACGGCAGGAATGGTCGTGACGCCGAAGCCGTAACGGTTGAACTCGTACAGCCACCCCCGCGCGTCTCTGAAGGCCGTCGTGTGGCGGTCGGCTTCCTTGGTGAAGAGCTGGTGGTAAGCCGAGGCCAAGTTGAGTAGAGTGACGATTTTTCTACCCTTAATGCGGTGATGCATCGTCACCAAAGTGCCGAGTCCCCGGACATATTTCTTCGTGACAGCATTGAGGGGGCGGTAGTCGACGGTATCGCGGTTTCCACATCCCATTCTTAGACGATGGATGTGGAGTAGCGGATGACGCCCATTCCTAGCCAGAGGCAGGCTTGTTTGTTGAAAATATCGGCTTGGATACTGCTACTGTCAACCTTACACGTAACGGCCGCTGTGACACGCTGCGGGCGGCGGGGCAGGCGTAAGCATCCTTGGCGCGGGTTCGTTGAGAAGCAACATCCGCTCCAGATCGTCGCAGTTGAAGCGTAGGCCATGGTTACCGGCAATCCTGATCCGATCGTCGTAGGGATCGTAGCGCAGTTTACGGTCTTGATTTTCGGCGCGGTACCTGGGGTCCACCGTTGAACACGCTTGGCGATGCCGATCTCCGCATCGCTCTCCATGTCGAAAGGTCCGAGGGGGCACACGACCAGCCGCTCAGCCGTGTGTGGATGGGGGCCTGGCAGCAGCGCCTCCACCTCAGCACTGACCTTCCCCGCCAAGTCCTGTTGCGGGCCAAGACCATCGGCCACCGCAGCCAGCTTCCGTCCTCCGATGCAGTCGAGCCAAGGTCCACGGCCTCGGAGATAACCCCTCGTCTCCTTCCTCCCCCCTCTCCTCAGCAAGACGTTCCACGGCGCAGAAGTCCTCTTGTGCGTGCTCGGTGTCATCGGCAGCAGTAAGGAGGGCGGCCACCGCAAGGACGGTCCGTTCACATTGGACCCGGCCAGCGCGAACGCCAAACTTGTCGGCGCGCCACAGCGGCATACTGCATCAGTTGTCGTTCTCGGCCGGCTGCAGTACATGCCGGCAGTTTGTCACGGTCGCGGGTTCGGCGGCGGCTTCAGCGGCAGGAGAAGCACGCCGCGGGAGTTCCTCGTCGGCTCGAAGACGCCCCCTCTGCCCAAGTCGATTATGGTGCCGTACTGCCGCATGAAGGCAGCACCCAGGACCAGACCAAACGGTAGTCCGTCCACGACACGAACGCGCGCACCGAAGGCGCGCTCCACTGGCGGAAAGACCAGCGGTAAGAAAGCCGTTCCATCGACACTGGTGCACGCCGCTACCAGTGGGGTCGGCGGCGCGGAGGAGACCCTATCCCCACCTGGGCACGATGCGGCGACCTACTCGGTGCGCTCCAAAGCCTGGATGAGCGCCGCCGAGGCGTATGATCCCCCCGCTGTCTCGGTGTCGAGCAAGACGGTCGTGGGAAGCCCCACGACCGCATTCCACCAGCACCCCGTAACCCAGGTTGTGTGGGAGCCCTTGGACAGCGTCGCGGCAGAGGCAGGACCGGCTGCAGAGACGGCCACGCCGGTACCATTCTCCGAGTAGGTCGGGTCGGGTTGGGTTGGGTTGGGTTGGGTTTTGAATAGGGTAGGGTAGGGTAGGGTAGGGTAGCGCTAGGTCGGTTGGTCGGTCGGTCGGTCGATCGGGCGGCCTTGGGCCACTTTCGTCGATCGCGCCGCCGTCGCTTCGTCGATCGTCGCCGTCGATCGCCCTTGTTGACAATAAAGAGGAGAGTGTGGCGCACCGCGCTGTGTGTGGCTTTAGGCTCAGTAGACTATTAAGCAGTCAACTGAGTGTCCGACGCGCACCAAAAAAACCAAGCGTGCCCCACACAGGTTCGCTAGGGCTATATAAAGCCGCCCGACATTGTATGTACATACTAGGTGAAGGGAGGACTGCTGTATCGCAATGTGATAGCTGGACATCACGTGTCAAGTCTAATAGGTGCCTAGGCGGCAAAAAAGAGAAAAAGTCACCAAAAAACCCAAAATCAAGCATGGTGATCAATCAGGTGTAGTTTGGCGCATATGATTTCGTCGGCTACAAGCATCAACTGCCCCGCTTGAAGAGATGCGCAGGCAGCCCTTTCGATGCTCGTTGTCGGGGGATGCTTACTTTGCAAGTTGGCAGCGAAATGATGCCGAAAGGCCCGTTGCAGCGTTTTGCGATGGAGCTATGCAGGGTTGCGGCAGATTACGCGGCGGAAAAGAGAAAAAGTCACCAAAAAACCCAAAATCAAGCTTTGGTGATCAGGTGCAGTTTGGCGCGTATGGGTTCGTCGGCTACAAGCATCAACTGCCCCGCTTGAAGAGATGCGCAGGCAGCCCTTTCGATGCTCGTTGCCGGGGGATGCTTACTTTGCAAATTGGCAGCGAAATGGTGCCGAAAGGCCCGTTGCAGCGTTTTGCGATGGAGCTATGTGACGGGAAATGTGTACCCCCGTGGTCCATGCGTTGCATTTTGCGTCTCCCCTTAGCACAAACCTTGCTTGTACATCGTGATCCGACCTACGGGGTGTACGAAAGTTTGAGCGTCGAACACAGTGTAGTCCTAGCTCCACATAGATGTGAGAGTTTTGTCAAGGGGCTGAGTATGTGTTGAGGAATTTCGAATTCTTGCGGGGTGATTGTTTTGTGCCGCGAGAGGTCAGGGTAGGAATGACGTAAAGCTGTCGCAGGGGGCGTCCAGGTCGGATGGCGTTGAAAAATGGCACGCACATGTGTGGACAGTGTTTGCGTTGGCTGTCCGAGTTTCGTGGACTTTCTTGAGCAGGATGCGGAATCATCGATGCGGCAAACATTTCGTGTGCTGGGCAGCGCAGCGCAACTCGACTCGCAGATCAGCCGAAACCGTGTTCGTTGCCTTGTTCGCTCCCCTCGCCACCGCCTTTGCCGAGACTTGCGCAACACGCCTATTTCGTCCTAGCGCATCGAGCCGCGGCCAGCATGGGGCTGTATCTTGCTCGGTTGTGGAGTACGCCGTGGCGAAAAAATGCAAGGGGTTGCCCAAGCGGCGCCTCAGCGCCTCTGATTTGGGGGGATGTTGTTCTTTTTCGATGCGCTGCGTGCGACGCGAGTTGAAACGCTCGCCGTGCTGGCGAGGGCTGGGGTGTGGGCAGGCATGGCTGCGAACGTCGTCGCGTGGCGGTTTTGTGGCATTGTTGAGCTCAAAGAATTTAGCCGCGGAGAATCAGAGCAAACAGGTGTCCCCATTAGAAACAAGTTAAAGGGATTTTGCGGAGAAGCAGAGCAAACAGGTGTCCACACTAACAACAAGAGTAAAGGGATTTTGAGCGAGACAAAATGCTTGGGTTTGGCGCCGGTGTCGCTTCAATTGAAATTCCTTCGACGGGGCCCTCGAGGGGTAGGTCTCGCGAAGGCACCGCCGCGATCTCACGCTCGTAGCTTTGGCGAGCCGAGAGAAATCTCTTCCGGTCACTTTCTTCCCGGTCTGTTTTCTCCGGTCAAACTCCTTATCCTAAACGGATTGGAATATCCACACGGATCGGCTGCCGAAAGGGGTTAGCGTCTGGTCACCCATCGAACATATCCCATGAGCAAACTCTGTGTTCGGCCGATGGTTTGATCGGGATGGATATCTTCGTTGATGTTTGCGAAAAAATCGCGATTCCTTCAAGATTTTCCAAAGACACTGGTATTCAAAACTATGTTTTGTTTGGTCGTGCACAATACTTTATTAGACCGCTTTTTGAGCAAAGAACACCGAGAAGCTCATTGTGACCAAACCCTAACCCTACCAATCTACCCCTTAAGGCGGTCGACCCAACCCTAATGCTAACCCCAACCCTAACCCTAATTGGCTGGCACAGATGGAATAATCAACATATTCGTCTTAAGGGTCTACACATTGAACAAGGCGGCTTCCCCGAAAACGGTGGTCATAGCCAGTTGCCCCAAGAGCGGCCGTTGCCTGCTGCCCCACCACCGCGTTCTTCGGGAACCCCATTGTATTCATCAATATTATTAAAAAAAACGCGTGCCAAGCAACGCTGAGTTCAGAATTGTTGGGAGGATTTCACCGATAGAGTTTGAAACCTCAATGGAGTCGGGTCATTTGGACCTGCACCAATAACATATTGGGCGAGCCTGCACCTGGCAAAGGCCTGGGTGGCCGTACATCCACATCATACAGCACCATGGACTGAGGGTTGCCATGTTGCTTGTTGATAATTGTCGAGGTTTGTCGGGGTGACAGTTTTTAGGCACAGTGTGGGAGATAGATATGAAAATTCGCGGATATTCGAAAGTATGACAAATACTTTTGAACAGATACTCGTAAGCCTGACTTTGTTATTCTAGAACATTTTTGCGGTCTCACTAATTGAGCCGAGAAGCGTAAATTACCTGTCTCCACAAGAGGATTGTTCCAAACCCCGGCAAAGTCACCATGTCCCACTGTTTACAGCGGTCACGGCGGTACCAAAGGGTGAAGATTGGAGAATTATTCCGTGGGGGTAAAACTCTAGGCATTCACCTCGAACCAGTGTGTAGACATTCCTCTTCGCCGTCCAACCCAACTCCTTATCCCGCCATGCCCGTACATTTCTCTAGAAATTCATTGCAAGCAATGCCTTTGCTCGTGGCCTACCTAAAAACAAAGAGTACTCACGGCATACAAATAACCTCCCAATTCAACGCGTATCATCTGCAACAGAGGGAACTCGCTGTCTCTCGCGGGTACGCCCCGGCATTCTAAACGCGTACGGAACGAGTCTGCCGTGCTGACAAGGAAATGGGGTGTGGCGAAGGCCAAGAAGCAACCGGCACCAGTACCTCGACACTTACTTGCCCTTGGAACCGGGGCATGGTCCCCTCATCCCCATCCCGACAACAATGTGTCAATAGTCTGTTCGCAGCTTATTTACTGCGCCCGAGCTGCTGCGCCATGCGGACGACGTGAACGGATTTTGGCGTTTATTCACTTTCCTACAGTTCTGTGAGTTCCTCGTGAGCACGGCTAACATTCAGCCATGGCTCCAAACGCTGAATCTGCCCCCAGACCTTTTAATCACCCACCTCCGTTGAATGCCGGATTTCTTACGAGCCTAAGTGTTTTGGAATCCCCTATTACCCCCGACCACGATCCACAACATCCACAACAGCGATGTTCGATGGCATTAAGGCATCAAGGAGGACTTACACCTGTGATGGTGGTAACCCGGCTGGTCGAACCGCGTCTTTTCGATTCGGTTATCCAACTAGCCAGCGACGACAAAATGCTTAAGCCGTTGAGGCTTTCTTGTAATTCCTGGGTTTGGGGGAAGAACGGTGAATAGTGATAGGAGGTGATGCAAAAAGCGGGACTCAGCGACTCAGCTTGCATTTCAACGTTTCAATATTTGTCCACGGCAGCAACACAACAAAATCATCTCAAGTTAGGAGGGCAACGTCAACACGCGCAAGGACGTCTGGAGTGTTTGAGGAGGCTCAAAACACCTCTCCGCATACCACGACAACAATCCACCTGTTACACAAATGTTCCAGTCCACCGAGAAAAATCCAACACAAAATCTTGCCTGTATCCTGCGATGGTTGCAAACACCCGCGACCCTGGTATTTGTTCACCGTACAGGGTAACCGTGGCTCCGGTGCTGGAGCCCTTGCCCCCAGGATTGGCGGGAAATTTCACGCGTTTCTTCACGAGGCCGTAGTGTTTCTTGTACAAGACCTTTGCCTCGTCCAACTTATAATGGGGAACAAATATGCCGAGAGAAAGAGAGAACACGAGAGAAGAACGACGCAGAAGTAGGTAAACCAAAGAGGTGGAGACCCAAGCATCATACAATAAGGAGAGCAAACAACAAATAGCAACTGCTGCATCTGCCTTTGCGACAGCATTTGCACCATCCGTACAACATGAGAAAATGAGTATCGAAACATGAAATCTTGACGGAATATGATCTTGTCCGGAACGTTTGTGCGAACTTGGAGTACGCCCAAGACGCTGTGGTGAAGCACTGGGCTCGTGAATCCTTCAATCGGGTCTCAAGTGTAGCAACGTTTTGCCGTTGGTCTGGATTGAATGGCTAATGTTCCGTTCCCGGTTGAGACATCGAATATAATAAAAAGAAAGCCAAAGGGACGCGATCACGGTTAAACTTCTCAACATGTCACCTCTTCCGAATTCATGTGCTCCGCGTCACCGTCATCGTACTTGATGAGCCAAAGGTTTCCATGGCTGTCGTCTTCCTGCGGAGGAAAATGCTTGGATACCTGGGGCAAGAATACAGCATACAGGATACCTCAAAATTGATTGCATGCAATATACATGTCATGAACTCGAAAAAAATACGAATCAACCACTTGAGGTGCTACAACTCATGCTTCCTCTTATTACTGCCGCTTCTCGGCGTTGCATCGAACACGCCGAGTACAACAGCCTGTATCAACCCGCAGGGAGCGCGCCATGCGGTCGAAAAGAACCAGCATCCCTTCTCCGGCCCACCCACACGGAAGATACAACTACGGCCTCAATTTGACGGACCCACCGTGCCGTCGAACTCTTCATCATAGAGGGGAAAGAGCTTCCTCACTCTTACACCGACAAGGCTGTTTGGCTGTTCGTCGCCATCGCTGACGTCAAGGCCTGCTTGGGCAAAGTCCTTGGAGGTGACGCGTTTCTCTTGGGCCGCTGCAAACCTGCAAACAAATGTCAGTGGGGAAGATTTCTGGACTGATGACCGCGCGAGCTATGCGGTGTTTGTCCGCCAGAATTCAACGACTGGGCGTTCAAGAAAGACAAGGCGCATACGTGGCAGTCATGGTATGAGCCGTGTTGTATTTTCGTCGTCCGTCGTACTCTCGGTGCCAGTCGGCACCTTTTCGGGTATGAGTGACGCCACAGCCGGTGTCAAACGTCAAGAAGGTAGTATTTGGAGTTGTTCAGTTCTTCATCTTACTTCTTCCTACGAGAAGGAACAGGCAGTTCCGGCCTCTCTCCCGCGTATGCTCACGACAATGATGCACTCCACACCTCTAGCGTGCAAATCTTCAGTCCAGAGATGAACACGAGCATACCAACCGAACCACAAACAGTAGTGTTGCCCGAAAACAAGGAATTGGGAGTTGGCTAGTCGGGTTGATCTTTGGTCACGTTGCGGCCCGATGACCATCAACACAGAGGTAGGATAAAATCGCCATACTCCTCACGCCAGAAATGCGTATGCTTGCGTAGATTGAACGGTAGCATCCACATTCATGAGCCCATATGTGCTTCTAGTTTTGGGCACTCGTCAGCATAGTTCCCATCGCACCTGTCCTGCAGGACATCGTAGGCCTTTGCGCACGTCTGAAACTCCTGCTGGTCGAGGTCCTCCATGTCCTGGTCTTCGTATCTTACGGAAACGAACAACGAGGACGCGAGTTCTGTGATAAAAAAACAATAGGAGAAACGGGTTGGTCCAGAGCGTCCCCTACACGCGTACGGCATCGTTGGGCGCGCAGCCAATGTTTCACACTAGCCCGCTAGGGTTTCTAATTTGGTGGACATTGCCTCTTAGAGACACGTACATGAAGGAGTGCTCGATTGGACATTTCCTTCAATAGGACGCTGGCTCGAGGGAGGGTAGATACACTTCCATGATTGAAGGCGCACCGAGCTAGAACAATCGGCTGAGCGAAACATTACATTGCATCCGATACGACTGCGTGGTTGTATAAGCATCGCTCGAAATATGTCCTTTCGCAACGGCTCGGAATTCCATGCGTGTTTTCCTCCGTGCAGCACCAACTCCCTCTGCACACTCCTGGGCTTCAACGACAGAAGCTAGATCAATGAGGATATGAAGATTCGTATGTTGCCAGAAAATACGCGGAAGTTTGTTTGCAATGGCATATACTCACAGGACCTTCCAAGTGGTGCCGCCGGTGACCTTTGCTCTCGCGTTCACCTTGATGACTTCCCCAATGTATAAGCCGTGGCCAGGGAAGTCTTTGGCGACAAGGGCGCCTTTGGCTGCAGCATTATTCTTCGGCGTGCCGGACGAAGGGGCGCTGTACCTGGCTTTCTTGACAGACGTCGCCGATCCTTTGGCACCGCCAGGCTTCGGAGACGCAGTGGTTCGACCCCTTCCAGCCGTCTTCTCGGGCATGGCGGTGGCGGTGACTGTGGAGACGTTGTTCCTAGGGCGCCCCCGACCCCTTTTTGTTGGCCCCATGACTTTGTCTTGCGAAGGTAATGGACCCATTGTGACATGAGGGGTTTGTCAGGCATTCCGAATGTTGGATAGCTTGAAACAGGTTCTGGTACCAAGCTCAAAGCTGTTTTGAAGTAGGTGTTAGAAAACGAACACAATGATTCACGCAAGCGCACAGAACACATCACAGCTGTTGGGTTTTCAACGTCAGCAAGTCACGTCCACCGATTCCCCGAACAACAGAAAACATCGAGTTCTCCTCGTCGGCCTTTTGGTGGTGCGCCGTCTGTCTCTGTGTATTGCACTAACACAAGTATTGTTCGGAGATGAGGTGTGTGTAGATACTGGCTCCCTGTAGGCGGCGCATGGTTTGGCGCATGATTTGGGTGCAACTCTGCCACCATGAGGAAAAACGAGCACGGTATGCTGACGTCACTATCAGGTCAAGTAACGTGAACCCGCCATCGAATGTTCCACGAAACGAGCGAGGTACACCCAAATCGTTCTGACGTATGTCGTCGGGTTGATGAATGACCTGTTACTATTCGGCCGAAACAAATGCGGACGGGAACAGTTTTGCTCGCATACCAGGCCGGATTTGCTCCCTATCTGCACTTCGTCTTCAGTCATCCACACACACAACGACAACAATTCGTTTTCTAAGGTCTTCAACAATGTCCGATGTTCAATAGTCAAGGACCTACGTTCATATATGGGAGGCTTGCGCTCCAAGAAGATATCACACGCTTGTGATAAACGTACAGTACAGGGTGTGATATTGTGCAGGGCTATCATATGCACCGGGTAATCGCGTAGGTACAGGGCACGGGAGCCATGGTGGGGAAAATCAGACCACCCCCTAAGCGGTCTTTCAATGCAAACCAACCAACCGTTTTTCTCCCCCGCCATATAGTCTATGCATATTTTGAATAGTTTGATGTGAATATTTTGAATAGCTTGAAGAACGTTCTCTGCGCCCAGGCGGTAGGGATGGGTGAAACCATTTTTTATTACATTGCAACATTCTCTTTCGTTGTTTCAAGAGCGTTGTTGACGTTTATGCCAGGGTTATGTGCAGAACATCTTCTGCCCTTCACTTCCGACTGAGTATCAGTGCAATAACTCCTACTCGGCACCACACACCCAGTGCGGAAGCAATGCGACAGTTTGATCAGGCGGGGGTATCACCCCCTCCTCAATACCACCCCTCCCGTACGTGTGGCCGCAGGCACGCCAGGTAATATTTTGCATGCGGTACTAACAGCCTCCTTTCGTTTCCGCGCAACTCCAGTCTCTGCAAGTGTGCTGTCACACCTATGGTTGCCACACCCCTCCATGGCTCCCGCGACCTACCCTTTTATCACCCGGGCTACACAAGCTAGCACACCCCCACAAGACACAGCACGCGGTGATGTTAATTATTGAAGCCAAAATGTTTTGCCCTGGATGTGGCACTTTGTTTCAGATGTCGCAATATCTAGAGTATGTCGAGTACCGAAGGAAAGGTAACCTTGCCACAACGACCTCCCATCTGCGGAGGTTCGACGTGCGAAAGGAGCTGTGGTCTCGCGCTCGTACATACATATACATCGGCCAGAAAACGGGGCGATAACTGCTTGGACGCAAACAAGGAATTCCGTTAGCACTATGTTGAAGTTGGTGTTCTCCGGAGTACTGACTGCTGCGGTTCGAATGGGCCGAGAGAGCGACACGTGACCCTTCCCTCCATCTTGGTCGCCCCGGTGGTCTAGCGGTAACCTCGAAACCGCTAGTGGCAAAGTCGCGAGTTCGAATCCCCATGGGGTGGAAAAATTACAATTTTGAGGGTGAAAGCGTAAAACAAAACTGAGAACCTGTCGTGAGTACCAAACTCCGGCGTCAGCACCGTCGACAAGGGGAAGGGACGGCTGGACCCTTCTCGCGATAAAAAACACCTTTCAGCAAGCACCCCAGAAGGAAGGTGGGGCACGAAAAGAAAGAGAAAAAGACGAAAAAGGCCCCGGTGTTTACCCCCTCCTGTGTGACCCTGGATGGTTGTAGTTGTACGAAATTACGCTGAAACGTGTAGCACTGAAGAGTGAGTGCAGTACCCGTCTCACCACGAAAAATGGGGGGACTGTCGCCATAATAAATAGGAAGAAAAAACGCAAAACACAAATCCCAGGAGGGAAGAAAAAATATGGGTCTGTTCCAACGCCATGCAGGGGCCCCGAGTTGGATTCCCGGGTGCCCGACGAAACTCTCCTCGACCCAACTATGGGCACCGATTGACGATCTGTTTACTTCTAAGGAAGAATAAAAACGGGGCACTCTTTGTCACGCCGGTTTGGTCGTGCTCCGACAAAAAATGGCTGTGTTACGCAGGCATTCGTGCCCATAAATTGAAGATACCTCAACCTAACCCCGGGAGTTGTCAACGTAATGGGCGAACACAAAAATCACAGATCGCAAGCACAAATGCTTTTAAACCCGCAGGAGGAATAGACGTAAACTCAGCTACAAACGAAACAACACTGGGACGCAATGTCCATCCCCCACAGATCCGAGGTCAGCTATCAAAAACAGCAAGGGGCCGCGCGAATATGACCCGCGCGCCGTGGGTATGGTCATGTGCCATGTGCAACCTGTGGCAGGTGGTTTATGGATGTTGCTTGGGTCTGACTGCTCAAACGGCAGAGTGATGACATCTCAAAACACACATAGCATACACACCTTCCCAGGTTGAGCGCAAACCTCCCATGGAGAGAAACCTTCGAGGACGTGAGGGCCTACTGCTATGCATTCTCAGAATGGGTGGCCGGGATCGGTCCAGGTTGTGTACTTGCGCCGCGCTACTGACTGTCTTCGCAAAGCCGTCTGCCCTGCCTGTTGTCGCTGCTGCCGATCTCGTTGCTGCCTATCTCTCTTGTCATGCCCATCAACGGCGTTTGGTGATGCACGAGGGAAAAAATTGTAGAGAAGACTATTTTCACTCCGCGGGAGCTCGGCAGGCTTGAGACGATACAGTAGGGTGGCGGGCCGGCCGCATCTGTCTATCACGATGCTATTTCAACGCTGCTGCTGGTGCTCTTCGGCGGTGTGATGTGTGATACGCTCGCCGCCAGGTACCGCGATTGCGAGTCACCGCACGGTCCGGAGTCTTGGCACGGTCCGGAGTCATCGTACAGGGGTGAGATGCAAATTAAATGAATGATTTAATTCGATTTCCGCACGTGGTCCGGAGTCACCGCGCAAGGGTCCGGAGTTACCACACTCAAGCACCCCCTCGTCGCGCCCGTAGCTACACTGCAAATGATTCGCACTGCTGTTTGTGGCCATTCGCACATGCGCATTGCATAAAGACTACTGCAAGGACCCGGCATAGAGTCGGCTACCCCGCGGCCCATTTCCCAGTCCTATCTAGAGCTACAGATTTACAGTACAGGTACGTGCCGTACGTACAGAGATATTGGCATGGTCTGTAAATCTTTGGAAGAATGCCAAGATCTTCCTTTGAGCTGGAAGACTATGTATTGATTTATTGTTTACTTGAACAGTCCGGCAGGAGACGTCAGTGTCAAACACGATGCCGAGAAGCAATGTAAAAACACGGCAGCATGGCGGACTGCTGAAATTGTGGCATTACAGAAATGAAATGCGGCTCTCGAGAAAAGCTCCCCATATGTGTTTATCTGTTTTTCCTCTGTATACTTTGGCATGCTCTTGCATCACCTCCTGCCGCGGTGCTCTCTTTCACCCACACCGGCAGGAGATCCTGTGCGTAATAATGCATTTGATGAACAACACAGGCACTGATACCTCAAAGAGGCTTCGACACATCTGTTTTTTCTGTCTTGTTCCCCAATTGCAAATTGCAAAGTCGGATCTTCGTCTGGAGTAACCGTCAAAAAGTCACTTAAAAAAAATCGTGTCATGTAATGTGACAGGAATATTGAAACCTTCGAGGGTGTGTTCGGTAAGGTACTACTGAAGCGTACCGCCGGAAAAGCCGGTATTTACCATACTGAGCGTCTCGGTATGCCTTGGTAATATCTCAATACCTTCCCGAAACTCTCGGAATACTTCGGAAAATTTTCAATACCTTACCGAAAATCTCGGTATACTCTCGACAAATACCGAGGGTACCGGTACATGCTTCGGTAATATCTCAATACCTAACCGAAATTCTCGGTATACTTCGATAATTTTTCAATACCTTACCAAAATCTCGGTATACTTCGGTACTTTTTCAATACCTTACCAAAAATCTCGGTATACCCTTGATAAATACCGAGGGTACCCGGTACTACAGCCTCCCATACGGTAGGGGTATAGGGGTATGGACTCCTATACCCCTACCGACACTGTGACGTCACTCTTTCCACTCACCACACAAACTGCTGTACCCCTACCGAATTTCGAACATCGAACACACAACTGCTGCACCTTACCGAACATCACAAGACCGTGCCTGTCTGGGTACACGCTGTAGTATACCGCGCACCATGAGCAGTGAGGCAACCTGCAGTCTCAAGGCACCAGGATTGGCATCAAGTGTATGACGACATGTGTTGATGCGTCTGTTGTAGCCAAGCGCAACCAACCGCTGCTTTGCAGTTGAAGAACAGCAGAGCCTCTGACATGGATGATGTAGCGGCGGACGAGCAGCATGGTATGCGTATTATATTAGGAAGAGACTTGCTGCTGGCGATAGGGACGTTTCGACTGAGGCATACCCCCGGTAAATACCGCCGGTATTTACCATGCCGAGCGTCTCGGTATGCTTTGGTAATATCACAATACCTTACCGAAACTCTAGGTATAATTCGGAGAAATTTCAATATCTTACCGAAATTCTCGGTACGCTTCGGTAATATCTCAATACCTTACCGAAAATCTCGGTATACCCTCGACAAATACCGAGGGTACCGGTACATGCTTTGGAAATATCTCAATACCTTACCGAAATTCTCGGC